CAGGGAAGTAAGACAAATCAGTTGGATTACCCATTGGAGGCTGTTGGCCGCCGTTGGCCCCCAAAATGGGTACACATCAACTATTCAATGCATATGCAGGGTAGATTCTGGCATCAGGGCCTAATGTAAAGTCCAACCTATAAGCTATCGATTGGGCTAACCACGATTGAACCATGACCGAAGGCCTCCGAGTCTGAACTTTTATTGCCGGCACTGGTGGAATGTTTTAACTGTGTAGGAAGAACAGTACTTACATTTACCCAAGGTTGAGGAACGATCCAGATTTCCAGGGCTAATTGAGAGTGGCGCGCGAAGGAGGCCGCCGCGAAATACACGCGTGGGAACATGTCGGGAGATGCCACGCCGTCGGCGCGACAGCCGCAGGAAAGGTGTGCCAGCAATTTACCCTTATTGGAAAGCTTTACATAACCTCCGCCATTCCGACGCCTCCTACGGACCTCATAGGTACCTTTTACCACTACTAGAAAAGGTACCTAAGAGGTCCTGACATAATGGCGCCGTAGGTCCCTTAGGTGCTATCTCCACCGTGTCAAGTCTTTTGGCATGCACGGATTTTGTCGGAGCCCAGGTTTCCTTGAGATGCTTAGTTTAGGTCTTGCCGGGGAATGCTTGTTTCCCAATCTCGAAAAGCTCCAGTGGTATCCTCACCCTCCCAGCTTACTTCCTCACGTACGGCTTTTCCTTACTCCCCGTATCCAGGATCTCCTCATTGGCTCTATCGAGAGAGTCCCGCATCTATCTATCCTTTCGAATCTCGTAACCAGATGTCCAGCTCTTACCAAAATCTCGATTTTCACTCAAGGCTTGGAAACCGTCGAAGAGATTCCAACATTATCCATGTTTGCCCGTGGCTTGACCCATGTCGAGTTACTGGACGTGCCTTGGCTGGATAGGATAGCGCTCGCACATCTAGCGGCACTTCCCAACGTGAAATCATTACGTTTCCGCCAACGACTTCTCCACCCGTCAAACTCAAAGTCTCCATTGCCAGGTCGCGCCCGTAACCCCACCGGAGGATTTGCGGCCCTCCGGCGTCTCCATTTCGTTTGTGCCGCCCTGCAGTGTGCTGCAGAACCTTTAGCACTGGGATCGAACTCTCCGTTGGTGGAGTTTTATATCAGTGCACACTGCAGATGCGGAAGAGCCGACAAAGAGCGTTTCTCGGGAGTTCTATGCCACTCTGGCACTGCATTGCTCGCATTTGTCCCTCCGAAAGATACATATAGGGGGAAATGACGGGAGCCATACCACACCCAGTTTGGATCGGATCAACATGTATGCTGTCGGACTCGAGGTAATGGAACCTCTCTTCTCATTCGGCAACCTCGTACACGTACACCTCGCGCACCCAGTCGGGTTTGATCTGGACAATGCTGGGGTCCTCGCGATGGCCTCTGCATGGCCTCACCTTGATACTCTCGTCCTGGTCACGTCCCGAGATCGTCATATGGATTCCCGCGTCACCCTCGAAGGCATTTACTACCTTGCGAAGCACTGTCCCAACCTGCGTGCCCTTCAAATGGTGTTCGACGCCACTGTCATCCCCGAACTCCTGGATCATGCCCAAACCAGGGTTGTGCAGGAAAGACTTAGCTTCATGGGTGTTTCGTCCTCCGCGATACGCAATCCTCGATACATTTCGACCTTCCTCTCTAAAATCTTTCCACAGTTGAACAGAATCGGCACTCTGTTCGAAGACTTGATCAATAGCGATAACCGAAATGTCGTCGTAGATCCTGTGATAGACGCTTCGCATGACCTTTGGAAAGATGTCGAGAAAGCGCTCCCCGCATTCCAGAATGATTGAGTGATTCGTCCCCTCCCTTACATTCAATTCCATGATTGACTTTTGCCCCCGTAGCTTCTCAGATTTAATTTCTAGGCAATCCAATCCACATGTTGTCTTCAAGTATAAATCTGCCTCCCGGATTTTTTCGCTATTTTATGCTTTGCACATTGGCTCGGCTTCGTGGCGCATGCGGAGTCGTGGCGTTGGCCAATGCTCGAGCTCCTCTGTTTCTCGGGGTTCGTTGTGCCTGGGCATCCTATCCAACATTTGTATAATAAAGAATTGGGCATTCGGCCCAAGTTCGATGGGCAGACAAACTCGGACGAGAAGCCATTTGAGTTCCCAGAAAGAAACCAGGAAGGAAAGACGTGTAAACACCCAATGGGAGACAAGTGACAAGGAGCAAAGACAGAGTTCTAGCTACATGTCGAGAACGAGAGCCAGTGGTTTTGAGTACGAGCCCGTACAACCGGTAGGGTTTTAAGTCCTAGCCCATACTAGGTCCCGTCCAGTGTGTTGGTGAGATTTTCAATGGCGCCGGTCAGCTAATGAACGTTAACATAGGCGAAGAAGGGAGCAGGTTAAGTTATCGTACATCGGGCTGCCCTATCTGAACCAACACAAAAATGTTGCCGATTGTCACGTTCTTCACGTTCACTATGAAGAATGGAACATGAAGACGATTATGACTGAGACTTGAATTGAAACTTACCATCACCAATGGAAATGTTCACGTTCCCTACGAATATCGTGATATTCCCGATCTCCGTGTCGACATTACCCGCCCCGGCGCTCACGTTGCCGCCTCCGACCGTCACCGTCGGAAGTGACACGCCACTCGTTGTCGTCGTTGGGGGTGAGGTCGGGGACGAGGAGGAGTCTTGCCGCTTCATACGCTGAAGGAAGCTGCCGGCGTCGCCACTGGCAGTTTGGGTTACGGACGTGGGGGGAGAGACGGTGGATGTGGCGGTCCCGGTGCTGGTGGCGATGGAAGTGGCGGCAGACTGTAGGGATGCAAGAACATGAGTAGGAAATAAGTACCGCGCGGAAAACGCGAAACAGGATTTTAAAATAATAGGCGTGAAGCAAATAGACGTACAGATGCGCTGAACGCGTTGATGGGGCTGGCGCCGGGGAGAGGCACCGAGACGATGATTGTAATATTCCCAATGTTAATATTCTCTATGCTTCAAGAGAGAGCGGCCGCCTAGAGTCGGTGAATGGATCGCAAAGAAGACGATCCTGCTCACTCGATGTTGCCCACAGAGATCGTAACATTCGTTACACTGTCGTTGGAATGGCAGCGTTAGCGATTATTTGTATGTAACGAAGAATAAACACGTCAGGTTGATATTTCCCAGCTTGGTGGTAATATTTCCCAGCGTTAATCCAACACTCGGTAACTAAGTATTCAGGAAACACAAGGGAAGGCTTGAGCTTGATATACGAATCGATTTTGGAGGTAGAAGACTCACGGTAACACCCACAGACCCATCGTCTCCACTATCTCCGTCTGCGCGTCTTTCAAGCGCGGATCGCCGGTCATAGACGCAAACAGTCGCCTCAGGTGTGTCCTTGTCAGAGTCCACACTATGGCCTGCCGTGAGGCAAAAGGAGAGGAAAATACCGCAGAAGAAGAGAAAGGGGGCGGCGGTCCTCATTGTGGGGGTTAGTCTGGAAACCGCAACAAATTCCGACTTTTGATATATATGTAAATCGAAGCGCTTCGTGAGTTTTTGTTCGACACCCCCTGAGTTTTTTTATTCCCTTGGCAACGTGAGCGTCAGAGGTGACGACGAGTCCAACCGTGGGAAATGGCGAATGATCGGCAAAGTCTGCCGAGTTGCTTGACACCATGAATCGCGATCGGCTATAAAGTATAGTATGGAAGACAAGGCGGAATGACAGGCAGTCTTGGCAAAACTGAGGGAAAAACAAGACTTGCAATCGCGCAATGCACCGACGGGGAGTCGAACCCCGAGCTCGTTACAACATTCAGCCGGAGTAGTGTCTTTACACCACCGATGCGCGCAGGACAACCCACGGAGCCGGATACGCAGTCGAGAAGGGTCGGAAAGAGATTAGTCCAGGCCGGCGCGAGGAGCAGAAACACCAGACCAGATTCGTAAACTGAAACAGAAGTCAAGGTCGAAAATTCTTACTATATTCTAGCGACGGATGGCTGTCAGTAGATAAGAAGAGTGTGATACTCGTTGAAAGATCTGAAAAAAAACCCAAGACCTACTGCACAATGCATCGTCGGGGAGTCGAACCCTGAGCTCGACACAACCATCCAATCACAGAAGAAAGGAGTTGACGCACTGATGCGCATATGAACTTTGAAGGTCCATGAGCTTGATGAAGTGCAATATCTGGCGTACAGCAGTACCCCGCCAGATGAAACAGTCCAGCATATAGCGATGAGTATAGATTTCAGGGCCGCAAACTGGACAATGGATTCGGGTGAGGTCTTGAGGCGGCGTGCCAGAGTCTGGAGCGAAAATGATAAGAAGCCAGAGAAAAAGTCTCTGATCCACGATACATACAAGCATCAACCGGGAGTCGAACCCGATGATCTGTGGCGAAATAAGTGCTTGCTTGACGCGTTCGATTCCACCACTGATGTGCAACGGTCTTCAAGTCGTCTTCAAAGGTATGGAATTTATTTGAGATGCCAGCCGGTGAGTTGAGCTCAGTTTGTGCAGCAGGAAATATCCGCTCGAATTGTCAATGGAGAGAGCGTTTCAACTTGACATCCGGAAGGAAAGCTGCCAGGCTGAACATAAAAATTTGTGGAGATGGGGGTGCTGGTTTCTGACAGTGGCAAGAAAAAACACCCACACTTCGACCATGTATCGACGGGGAGTCGAACCCAAGCTCGTCACAACGTTCGTTTCCAGACAAGAAAAGAAAGGAATCAACGTGTGTCCGCACATCACCGATGCGCATAAAAAAAGTCCACGAAGTACAATATCTAGGGTACAGCAGTGCCGATTTCAGAGCAGCGCGATTGGGATTCCACCCCATGTGTGAGCGATGCAATGAGCACGGGCACAAGTAAATGTGTTAAGGTGACTTCGGCAAGGAGTCCGCAGGCTCGACAGAAACGTGCTGAGATGAAGGAGACATACGCCTGGACGAATCAGGTAGGTCGCAAGAAAGAAAAGAAAAAGACGTCAGACACTTCGAATGCATCGACGGGGAGTCGAACCCCGGACTCGCCATAGTATGAATACCTATCAATCTGTGAAAGACATTGGCGTGTGTGTCCGTACACCACAGATGCACAGAGCTAGCGCGGAGAGGGGGAGAGGAGACACGAGCAGGTGGCGCAGGATGTGTTCCGGATACGTGAGTGAGGCGAGAGGGAGTTGAAGGGTGCTAGTGCCAGTTTGTGTTGGAAATTAGGGAAAGACCGTGCCGACAGTGCCGGCTCTCTAAATCGAGGAATTGTATTATCTCAGTGGGAGTTAACAGGAGGAGGCAGAGATAGTGCTTGCGTGAAGTTGGAACCTAGAGCAAAAATTTACTGAACCCACTGGAATGATGCATGCATCGACGGGGAGTCGAACCCCGAATTCGTCACATGTTATGGACTGAAGTGTTGGACAAAGGAGTTGACGCGTGTCCCTACACCATCGATGCGCACAGGAAGATCTGGTAGATTCGTAAATTGAAACCGAACTTGTCAGGAGTCAGAATTTGAAATTTTATCGTCGAGATATCGGCGACGAGAGCCGGCAAGTGAAATGAAATGGAGTGGTGGCCAAGTTCGAGAGAAAAATTATAACACAGTGACCATATATCGACGGGGAGTCGGACGCCGAGCTCATTGCAACCTTCAAATCGTTTGTTGAAAGGTGACGAGCGGGCTTGCACCATTGATGTGCAAAGGACGATAGGGCGAGATATGTAAGTAGTCCCGTCGGTCTTACAGCAGAAATTCCACAGATAAAGCAGTCCAACATAGTGCATAGAACGATGGGCGAAAATCCGAAGCACCAAGCCCGCTACTCGAAGACAAATTCAGCGAGTATTTGAGATTACATGTATGATTTCCAAGGATGAAAGGTGACCTGCGGAATGAGAAAATTAGCCTGGTTACAAGTCGGAGCCTCAATCTAGCGGGTGACCGACTATGTCGGCCCGGAAGCTTTGACAGGTTGCCTGTGAACATGTCAATGTGGAAGAGGTGAGAAGTTGAGAACGGCAGAGTGCTTAACTCTCAACGCTCCTCCAACCAAAAGGAGCTACTTTTTGGACTTCTTATGCATCGGCGGGGATCCGGAGTCGAACCCTGAGTTCGTCAATAGTACGACACCTTAAGAAACCTTGCCACTCACGCAAGACACTGACGTGTGTGTCCGTACACCACCGATGCGCAGGGCTAGCGAGGAAAGACCAGATACGAGGGGAGCAATGCAGGATGTGTTCCGAGGTTGAGGTGGATGTAGAGCGACGGTGGAAGCATAAATCCCACTACTCGAAAACAAATAAAATCAGTGAGTATTTGAGAATATTGTTATTGGTAACGATGACCTTCGGAATAAGAAGATTGCGCCCGGGCCAGCGGTGAGGAAAAAATCGCTTCTCTCTCGTATGCATCGACGGGGAGTCGAACCCCGGACTCGTCATAGTATAAATACCTCGTCGATCTACGCAAGACATTGACGTACACCACCGATGCGCAGGGTTGGAGAACCGAGGGTAGATGGGAGATAGTACGAGCGAGGCAGCGCAGGATGTGTTCCGAGATACGTCGGTGAGGCGAGAAGGGAGTGGAAGGTGCCGGTCTCAGTTTGAGAGGGAAAGACTGTGCCGTCTCTATAAACCGAGGAGTTGGATCATTTCAGCGGGAGCGGCCAGGAGGAGTCGGAGATAGAGCTCGCGGGAAACTGGAACATAAAGCAAAAATTTACTGAACCCACTATTGAACGGGGAATAAAACGAGGATTGAACTGAATAAAATTCGTAGCATCCTACTACTTAAATACAAACGAGTCTGCATAGCTAAAGAGTCATAGATATATAATCTACGTACGGGGACAAGTAAACACCGAGTGAGAACAGCGCGCATAAGAGTAATAGTAAATAATAATGAGTCCGTTGTTATACATACATGTGGTATTGGCGTGCGCGCCCAGTCGCGCCCGCGGTAGGTGAGTCCGATAGAGTCCTGCTGAGTCCAACGCGGACTGTTCGGGTTGTTACTCCAACACCCACATGCCTAACGCATGCATGGACGGGGAGTCGAACCCCGAACTCGTCACAACAATCCTCCGCCGAAGTCAACGCAAGAAGTCGACGCGTGTTCTTACACCACCGATGCGTACAGGAGGGAGAGCCAGCGGGAATGAGTTTGGAATGAGTGCAAGTGTCGCCGAGATGAGTACAAGATCTTAAGAGAGGCGTTTGCGTGGCATGCTTGGCAACAGGCTCCGACGTGACGGGTGACTGTTCTCTCTCTCTCTTGATGCGCCCAGGGACATCTGTGCGCTGTCCCTGTCCTCGCTCCGCACCTTCACTCTCATGCCCACCTTCAAAGTCGTCGTAATCGGCGCCTCGGGCGTCGGAAAGACCAGTATCCGCGGCCAGGTGCGTCTCTTCCGTGTGGCTTCATCCCTATCTATTCACTCACATTTCAATAGTACATCTCCTCCCGTTTCTCGACCTCCTACCGCGCGACCATCGGCGCCGACTTCATCACCAAGACCCTCCCCTCGCCCTTCCCCTCTCCCAACGGCGTCGACCCCGCCGAGCCGGTGACACTGCAGATCTGGGACACAGCAGGCCAAGAACGCTTCTCCTCGCTCGCGAGCGCGTTCTTCCGCGGCGCAGACGCGGCGGTGCTGCTGTACGACGTCACACGCCCCGAGACGCTGCACGCGCTGAGCAAGTGGTGGGCCGAGTTCCGCGAGAAGGCGCCCGTGGAGGAAGGCGAGCTGCCGGGGTTTTGTGTCGCGGTGGTGGGGAATAAGGTGGATTTACTGGAGGGCGGTGCGGGCGCTAGTGTGGATGGAGGAGGAAAAGGAGGAACGGGAGCAGAAGGCGTCGTCTCCGCCGCGCAAGGCGCGCGCTTCGTCCGCGCGCTTATCCCGCGCCCGGATACACCGCCGCCGACACCCGGGCCGTCCTCGCTTAGCCTATCCACAGCGACTCCGACCGATGAGAATGAGGACGAGGACGAGGACGAGGACGCAGACGCAGACGACGCCCTCGCCTCCTCGCAGCTCACCGCGCGGCCCCCCTCCGCCTCCGCCCCCGCGGACCCGATATCAATCCTCCGCCCCGCGCCCGCGTCCCCCACCGGAAACGGGCACCGCAAATCCACCTCCCAGCTCTCCTTCTCCCCCTTCACCAACCCCACCACCTCGCGCGCCTCCTCCCGCACGCGCCCGCACCCGCACGGCACGCGCGCCTCGCATGCCTCCCTCGCTACGAGCACCCTCACCGTGTACCACACGCCCTCCTCCAGCGTCTTCAGCGACGGCGCGAGCGAGTACTGGCACGATGCGCGGGAGAGTGTCGGGGGCAGTGAGTATGGCGGGAGTGTGCGGGATCGGGGGGAGGCATCCGAGTACGTGTCGGGCGGGTCGTACGAGTCCCCGACGCGCGTAAACGGAAACGGGCACACGACGACGACGCGCTCGCCGTCCGAGGTGACGATCACGCCTGCGAGGGCGCGCTTTTCGTCGGCTTCGGCTTCGCGCGAGAGCTTACACTCCGAGGGCGCGGACGCGGACACGGACTCGGGCGCATCGTCGCCTTCGCCCTCGCCCCGGAATACGAAGCCCAACGGGACTCTAAAGGGCATCAAAGACAAAGCAAAGGCCCCCGCGCCCCCGCTCGCGCCGATCCTCACCAACCCCTCTTTCGCTTCCTCTACCTCCTTCAATAATTCTAGTTCCACTACTACTACTTCCTTTACGAACGCCAACGCCAACGGCACCGGCGCACGCGCGCACGAGGGCCCGTCGAGCGCGGCGCTCAGCCCGCTGCCGTACCCGCAGCACCTCCCCGCCGGGGCGGCGTCGTTCGCCTCGCTGGGCGCGGCGGCGTCGTTGGCCGTGGCGTCCTCCACTTCAACTTCAACGTCAACTTCCACCCCGTCCGCCTCGAACACCGCCGTTCCTAGCGGCGCTACCTCTACCTCCACCTCTACCTCTGGCACCACAGCGCAACTGATCTCCACGCAATGGCTCCTCGAACCTGACCTCCCGTCCTCCTCCGGCGCGGGCGCCGCGCACTTCCGCGCCTCCGCGCGCACGGGGGAGGGCGTCGCGGACGTGTTTGCGTGGGTCGCAAGGCGGCTTGTGCTCCGCGTTCTGAGGGAAAGGGAGGAGGAGGAGAGAAGGGAGAGGGAGATGGGGTATTCTGAGGCGGGGGGGAGCGTAAGGGGTGCGAGTGGGAGTGGGAGTGGGGGTGGGTGGGGGAGTTGGGGGGGTGGGAAGGGCGGGTGGAGTAAGGGAGGCAAGGGAAGGGGAGGGAGAGGAGGGGGGAGAGGGGGCGCGGAGGAAAGGTTGAGGGTTAGTGTTGGGGGTGGCGGTGGCGGTGGTGGGGGGATGGAGGGGAAGTGTTGTTGAGATGGGGCGGGGGAAGGGGTAATCTCATATAATTTATGTCACAAGGGCGCAGGAAGGTGGAGGGAAGTTACTTATTGGTACATCTATTTTTCTTTATTTCGTGTCTCTGTTCTGTGTTCTGTGTTCGCTTTTGTGTTTTGTATATGGATGGAATGGGATGCGATTATACCACGGCACCGGTGGGATGGGATTTGCAACTCGGTGGGTGGGGGGTTCAGTACTAGTCCCAGACTCCCAGTGGGAAGTCCGTTGAACTAGATCGGAACCAGAACGAGCAGTTCAAGTTTTACTCATAAAGATGGATACTGACGCAGTTGTTTCCAAACCACTCTGAATCCAAATGGAATTCCGTGGACAGCGATTTTGAAGAGGTCGAGTCAATGCGATTTGACTAAGATGGGTGGCTATGCTCCAGGCCGTTATGAATTGGGGGGTGTATTTTTAGGCCTCCACTTCATCATGAGTTTTTACATAGCCACATTGGTCAGGAAACTCAGCCTGGTTGTCGCGGTTTTCAAATTATCCATCTTTAGTAATGTTGTTCTTTCGGCATGTCTCTTAGACACGTACGTACGGGGGGACGAAGATGAAATCAGGCTGCCATCATTAGGCGCACCGCCGTCAGTCGTTCCCGTTGTGGTCGCAGTCTGCAAGCTATCCATTTGGCATTTTTTGGGAATGTTCTACTTTCGGCATGGCTCAT